CTTTAGGAACTTCCTCCATATTGAATGGGTCACTTTTGGTTAGACTAGATACAACTCCCAGGATAGATACAGGATTGAAAAAGGGCATATTTTCAGTATCCATTGGAGTAAGGAAAAGTTGATGCTCTGTCTCAATGCCTTCCCACGTTAGTCTGCTTCGCTCTGGTGACTCAAATACGGCAAACCGGTAGCGTCTGACTAACTCACCAGGAGGAAGTCGGGACAGTTTTATAATTGCTAAACCAGGCAACTTCTCTTTAGCACAACGAAGCAGCAGGAATGAGATATTCAGTCAGCTCCAGGGTCTCGATAAAGCAAAACTGAGGTGACTACTGGAGAGAAGTGTGTGTATTACAGTGGGGTTCCTGCAAAAACCTGATTGGAGTGTATCCTACACCACCAGCTTATAACAACCTGTTACTCTAATATTAAACTATTAATTGAAGTAGCACATCAAAGCAAATGCGTAAACATGAAATCACCAATTTTTCTACGGTGAGTCTGCATTCCATCTCAAAGCACATGTGCACGACCACTAGTTGTGTCTTGTGCGAAGGGATCAAACGACTGCGAATTCCTTCTTGTCAACTGTGTAGAATGCAGCACATATCTTGCAATAGCTGCTTCCCGCCTTTTGAGATTCGAAATGTCTGAGGTGCACACATCAAGCTGAATGGGATACCTCCATCTTGCTACTCCTCCTCGAAGTTGCAGGAATCTGACATGATTCAGAAATGTCATCGGACCACCATATTCGACACAGTCTACAACTGGATCCAAACATGCATTGCAGAATAAATGCATCGTTTTGCCTACTATTGCACAAACACAGCAGTCATCGTTTCAGTTTCAATTTTATATTTTGCCTGCTCTGCAGTATCGCTACCGACCAACTTGACTTGTTGCTTTTACTCATTCCACTGAACCACAACGTGTTGATGTAGATCACCGGAAATGCACGATCCTGTGTGTTTCAAGTAAGCAATCTGCACCGTAATGCTAAAATTGTGTAAATTTATCCAAACACTTGACCGTGAGACATTACTTGCAGTCTTGTTTGGGGAGTCAAAACAACAAACTCATCTGCCATTTGGAATGAAATGTCGAAGTCATCTTAAACTAGAGCTAACGATAATTTTCGTGTCTTCGTAAAACTCCTGTCATTGTAGTTATTTGTTGTAGTTACAAGTGAGTAAAATTACTGTAGATGAATTGGAATTTGTTGTCGTGTTAATCAGATTGAGGTGTCACCTTCCCACACGGTCGATCAGTCTGAAGGAGGATCAGTCAGCTACCGAGCAAATAAATGACAGCAGTTTATGTGATGCCGTAATCACAACTCAAAATGCTCATTCTTTTCGACTTCTCAACTGGCTTCGCAGAACCGCAGCCTCCAAATTGATTTGAATGTAATAGCGAGTAATGTTTGCATGAGTTGTGCAGAATGCATGAGTGATGCATCTCCATGCAGTTCACCCACATGACAGTCAGTGCGTCGTTGACAGAAGTAGTGGCGGATAGCCAAGACGAAGGTGGAGAAGCGGTGGTGGACTGAGGAGTGTAGAGAATGGCAGTGAGGGGGCTGACACTTGACAGGAGAGGAGGCTACGCAACACTTTGACCACTAGTTGAGAAATTCATTTTGATTTTGTAAACACTTAAGGCTTTGACTTGTTTGCTTTGGTGGGTGGTTTTGACTTCGACTCATGCCAGTAGCCCAAACCATCTTCACGACGGCAATGCTTATCCTGAGCGAGTATTATGTCCCTGCTTCTCTTTAGAAGGGTCGAGGGATGCTGCAGCCTCCCCTGCGACACCTGCATTCATGCAGATTCATATTATGCGTGAAAAGTTATCCTGGAAAGTAAGCACAAGCAATGCCTTATTGACTGTGAGTTTATCAATTGTCCACCTATCCTTGTTTGCAGGCACGGAACCTAATTCATTAGCAACTCTTGTCATGCAGATGGAAACCGCTACACGAGGCACCAAATGCCATGGCAAGTCAGCAGACAAGAAATAACTGCATACGCAATTACGCCTCCATTTATGCTTATACGGAACAAATTTGGCACTTTTCGAGGATCCTCCAACTGCCTCAGCTACGGTAGCGATAAATATTTTTCGCTTTTCTTTCATGCCCTCTTC